TCCTATTGTTTTCGTGCACTAGTAACATGCCGGGCCCACTAATGTGGGTGCCACCGATGCCCAGCAAGACGGCCGGCGTGCCGTATGTTCCTCGATTGTTAGTCCTGACCCAGCATCCGGAGAGGTTAGCAACATTCTTTTTGCTACGTCTTTGCCGTAACGGTTTCATAGGTCAGAGTAGTGAGTAGCTCGTACCCCAGCTACATCGGACTCGCACCATGGACGGCTACCAGTGGTACCAACAAAGTTGGCAGCGGCAGCCGCCTCCTCCTCCTCCTCCACCAGACTATCAAGCACATCCTCCTCCTCCTCCTCCCGAGACGCCACACCCGACGACACATTACCCAGGAGACGATCAAGGATGGCAAGGTCGATGGAATCAACACCCACCAGCCGGAGGAGTACACGCTCAATACCAGTGGCCACCCCACCAGGATGCAGCATCTCTACGGCCACAATGGATAGCACCAGCCGCGTTTTTGGATCAAATGCAGTTCGGCCCTCCGACGCATCGTCGTGATGATGCAGCAGGATACGCACCTTCGAGTCAAACGACGGGCCCACATTCACCGACGACCAACCAGAACATTCATCTTCACCACCAACATGCCAGTCCTCAACAACACGATCACCCGGAAGTACGCCCAGCACCTCTACATCCACAACCTCACTCCTACCCCCAGACCACAAGTCATTGGCAGAATCCGGACCCACCTCCGTATCTTCAGCATGGTCAGCAATATCATCAAGGCCAAGATCTACGACCAGACCACCACCCTCGAGACCTTGCGCACCACCATCAACAACAAAGCCCTCCTCAGGGTCGACCAGAATGGAATCAAGCCGCACCTCGGCCAGCACACCATCTTCAGCAACAGATGAATGTTCCACAACGAGCAGATCATCCCGTGTTCGCGCAAGCAGAGCCTCATCCTCCAGTTCGAGAAGGACCTTACCCCATCTCCCTACTAAATACCCCTGGCGCCTGTGCACATCGAGATCCAGCAGAACACGGCCAGCCACGTCAACAAGATGCTCCAGTTGACACACAACACCCAGACCAAGGACGCAGATCTCAGCAAGACCCCACTCAAGTATATGCTCACCGAGATCCGCAGCGAGATGCAGCACGACAGGAGCCTTTGTCACAGTCCAGACCATTTCCGGCACTTCAGCGATCTATGCCCACCCAGATTTCTGACACACAACAAGATGACCATCAAAGAGGCCAACCTGTTCATCACGGAGAACATCAACCACCTCGTCAAGCCCCAGAACCACCCTCCCAAACCACGTCGATGACGACACCATCCCAGATGACGGAGATGTTCACGTGCATCACAGGCATGATTGAGAAAGTCGTGGCACCGCTACTCCAGTCCCATGCCAGAGTCGCCCCAACGCAACTACAACATCCTGGCGACCAACACAGAGCAGAGTCCTTTACCACACACCACACCCGAAGTCGCAGCCGAACCACCTATGAGCCCAGCCCAGCCCACCCCAGGAGCACCAGATCTACGCGACACACGCACATCTCCCATTCACCCCACAGCCCCGCACCCAACGCCCCCCACCAGACAGACAGAACCAGACGGCCACGCAGTCCAAGAAGATCCAGATCCACACGTCGACACTCGGAAGAAGCCGAATCGCGAACATCGAGAAGGCGCTCTTCTCCGGTTCATCATCACCGCACATCCCAACCAACGCCATCCCAACGCAGCCCCTCCCCAAGCAGCACCAGGCGCAGAGGCACGACCGTCGTTCTCACCCCCGCGCTCCACCGATCTGCTTCACACACGGCGACCCACAGAGACACACCTGCTTCCTCATCCCGACTGCCCCAAGCACCCTCAGAAGCCACTTCACACAATGCAGGAACAGAAACCGAATCAGGCTTCAAGCCTGAAGAACGTCGACGCATGAAGATGCTCTACCAAGACGCCTTGGCGGACCCCTACAGGCTCGCGTGTGTGTCCGAGATGTACCACCAACAAGACCCACCACCGCCCATGGACCCTTCCAGCACAGGTGTCCGGTACATGAACGACATCATGCACGACATCGCCAACCTCACCCAAGGACAACCCCTTTGGCTCTCCAACCCAGCACAGATGGCCATCCGCCAAGTGGCAAGATCCTTCGCTTGCTCTCACTACAAGATCACGCCCTTCCTCGGCAAGTTCAGAACTCGCCCCAGCACGGACACGGTGATCCACCCGGAGCTCATCCACGTCGACCCCTACAGCAACAAACAGGACACCACCGACTACCCACTGGTACAGGTCCTCGTCATACCACTACGCACCACCAAGCCTCCACCTCACGCACACGATGCCAACAGTCCATCACCTCCCACGCACAAGGGCGCCTACAAGGCATGTTGGTCACACGCTACCGATGAAGCAGGCCTATGGCACATCCTGCGCGAGGGCTTCGTCAGACCCACGAATTGGGAGCCCACCAATTGGGATGACGACAACCTCCCCTACAACAAAGCATACCTACCCCACCGTGGGTTCAACGGATTCCACCAAGACAACGCACCCGACAACCTCCAACTCGGATTTTGCCACACCAACCTCCGCAAAGCCCTCCGCCTTCCAAAAGCCAGAGCAGGTCCTGCCGAACGAGAAATAGCCACAGGTTTCACCATATTTGGACGCGTCACATCGTCCACCTCCCAGCATAGCCACATGCGGCAGAAGGGAGGAGGATGGACGACTCAGAAGGCGCTCATCGAGGCACACTTCAACGACACCAGCCGAGCCAGTCGCAAC